ACACCAGCAATGCCCAGCATAAAGCAGACACTAAAGAACCAACAACAGACAATCCTAATTTGCTGATCCCTTTGACCAACGAGACAGGTTACCAGATGGCAAATGTATTGTCCTTAGCCTCTGTGCTGTCCTGCTGAGGCCTGAAAGTCCTGTATCAGTGTTCCTTATCTAAGTGCTGTGATAGGTTTAGGATTCTAACTCTCCTTAATATCTTTTTTAAAATATACATATATTTTAGTTGTCAATGGATATCTATCTATTTATTTATATATGGTACTGAGGATCAAACCCAGAGCCTCACACATGCTAGACAAGTGCTCTACCACTGAGCCACCGCCCCATCCTCTCCTTAATATCTTTGTTCACGACTATGACCAAGAAAGGTAAAAGATCACACTTGTGGATAAAAGTGGCAAGGGGGCTGTGCAGGGGCTACAAAAAACAAAATGTTGGAACTGGAGGAGAATCTAGGGATCCTCCTGTCCAGGATACTGACACTTGACTGTGCTTTAAGAGTTGCCAGGGAAGCTTTTTACTCTCCACGCTAACAGCAATTTGTTGAGACATATACAGTAAAATGCACAGATCTTTCTTTCTTTCTTTTTTTTGTGGGGGTTTTACAAAACATAGCCCCCAAAGTCTGCCCTAGCTCTCTGAATCTGAATCTCCAGTGATGGAGCCTGGGAAACTTTTTTTTTTTCAGTGCTGGGGATAAAACCTAGGGCCTCATGCATGCATGCTTCACCCTTGAGCTGCATCCCAACCCGGGAGACATATTTTTAATAACTCCTGGTATTATGTTGTGTAAGAAATACTGGTTTGGTCAATCTACTCTTGTTCTACAGATGTGGAAACTGAGGCCCAGAATAGGTAGGGGAATAAGTTTCTTTCAGCTCCACCCACCCCCAGCCTCCAGGGAGGGGAAAGTGACTGGCAGTTAAGTTGGTCAATGATTTAATCAACCATGCCTTTGTAATCCCGCCTCCATAAAATCCCAAAAGGGTAAAGTTCAGAGAATGGTGGTATAGCATTGAAAGTCCAGACTACAATCTTTTCCACTGTATTCCTTTTTCTTTTTCTTTTTTTTTTTAAATTTATTAGTTGTTGATGGACCTTTATTTATTTTTATGTGGTGCTGAGAATCTAATCCAGTGCCTCACACATGCTAGGCAAGTGCTCTGCCACGGATCCACAATCCCCGCCCCTGTATTATTTTTTCTATTGAAAGACAACTCAAATATCTAGTGACAAAAATCGTAAAAGCTTCCACTTATTGAAATAACTGCTATATGGCAGGCTCTGCTCTAGACATAGTATGGACGTCTAATCCTCTTAACAAGATACTTATCACAGCTGAGGAAACTTAAACCCACTGTTCAAGGTCCCAGAGCTAGTGAGTGTCAAACAGAGGCGTCAATCCCAGGTTTGCACAACTTCAGAGTCACACAAGAAAGTTGATACTTTTCCTGAAGTAAAAGAAAAGAAAAACAAGTTCTCTCGTTGGCTGTCCTGGCTCAGTCCAACTTGCTATGAAAGAAATTTTAGGTGACTGTGTGTGTGTGTGTGTGTGTGTGTGTGTTGAAGTGCTTTAGAGTTCCTTCAGTTCTGTACACACAGTGAAAGTTGTCAACTGTCAGGTGACTAAAGATGTTCCAGAAAAGGGAAGGGAATGTGTTTGCTTAAAGACTAGCTCTTCCTCCTTTATTGACAAGTTTCCCCCGGGGTGGGGACTGCAAATACTGCCAGTGGGGCTGTCAGGGATGGCCTTCCACATCTGGGGAGCAAGTTTCCCAAAGCAGAGAAGCCCTGACTCATCAGGGAGTGAACTGGGAATCAGAGACACATCTGCTAGATGAGATGCTGAATCTGGAGTTGCGAGGGTCTGGCCTTCTCATTTTTCAGTAAGTGGAGAGTCTGGGATGTATAAGGGAAGGGGCTGCTTGAAGGAAGTGCAGACCTCTCTTTTGTGGTTGGTAGGGTAGGGGCAGCAAGATGGGACAAAATGGGGGGAAGAGGAGAAAGCTGTGGATACCGAAAAAGACTCTCCTTGACCAAACTGTAGTTAGGTTCTTCTGAACCCTTTTCTTAACTAGGCCTTGATGCAGATCTCCAGTCCTATCTTTGGCCTATTTAGCCCAGATTTAGCAAGAATCCTGCTAAGTCAGTTTAGCAAAAACCCCCATTCTCGACATACAATCAAGTTCCTCATCCCCTCCTTTGATGTATATGCCTTTGACCTCACTTCAGTGAGATGGGTTTAGCACGAATCCCCCTATCCTTGATGTCTCAGCAATTTTTCATTTATTGTCTCCCTCACTGTGCTCTTTGGATAGAAATTCCCAGTTGTCTTTGTCAGCAAAATTTCTCTCCTCGATTGCAGTAGCACTATTGTAAAAGGTTGGTTTTACCATTTAAATAAGCATCAGAATGATTTTTTCTTTAACGATACCAAAATTATTTGATCTCTTTATTTATTTATTTGAGTGGTGATACTGGGAATTGAACCCAGGGGCACTTTACTACTGAGCCACATCCGCAGCCCTTTTAATTAATTTATTTTTTATTTTGAGATGAGGTCTCACTAATTTGCTTAGGGCCTCCCTAATTTGCTGAGCCTGACCTGGAACTTGAGATCCTCCTGCCTCAGCCTCCTGAATTGCTGGGCTTATAGGCATGTGCCACCACAACCGGCTTCATATTTGATCTCTTGGTCTGCATCTACTCACACAGACTGATTTGCCTAACAGATGCTGAATTGAATAATATTCTAATGGATAGTATGATGTTATAAAACATATATTTGGTCTTCCTATTTTCTAGCATAGAAATCTTAAAGTTCTGGAATCTGCAAAGTGGTAAATATCTCTCTGTATGTGAATGAGTTGACTGATGCTTGGCAGCCCCAATGTAGCTTCAGGATGGGGACTGGTTAGGGGAAGGACTAAGGAAAAATTAAAGGGTTAGAATTCTGAGCTCCACCCCCAGCCTCCAGGGAGAGTAAAATGACTGATGGTTATGCTGGTCAATGATCTAATCAATCATGGCTTTGTAATGAAGCCTTCATAAAACCCCAAAAGGCAAAGTTCAGAGAATGTTGGGACAGCTGATCACATGGAGGTTCTTGGAGGATGGTGCACCAGAGGCGCTCATGGAAGCTGTGTGCCTCCTTGCCCAAACCTTGCCCTGTGTCCTTGTTCACTGTCGTTCATCATTATCCTTTGTGATATCATTTCTAATAACTTGGTAAACACAAGTGTTTCCCCAAGTTTTGTGAATTTCTCTAGCAAATTAATTGCTAAAGGGGGCTGTAGGGACCCCAACTTATCACTCGTCAGTCAGAAGCAGAACTAAAACAACACAAGAGTCATCCAGGCTGCTGTTTGTCAATATGGAATCTGTCTCCCTATTCCACTGGAACAGGAGTCCAGGCTTCCCAGATACCCACTGTTACTATACAGGGAATACAGTGCTGGTAAGAGCTGCTAAAGCAATTGCTTTAAATCTCCTTGTCATCGTTCACGTCAGCCTGCTTTATCTATCATTACTCCACAAAGACCTTTGGGGTGCTATATTGATTTTATTTTTGCTCTTTAGAAACCACTTCTCTACCTCTTCTTTGCCCCAGTAATCATACTGTCTTTTGATTTTCTGAGTTCTTTTTATTTGAATTCATTTGGCATCCATTAAGCATGGCTGAAGGTAAGCCACTGGTCTGCTATAGCTTTCAAAAACTTTACAATAGAAGGAAGAAAGACACTTTTGATGTCAGGTGAAATTTTCTGCTGGAAAGGATCAAGTCAGAACCGAGGAAATTCAGCTGAGCAAACCTTCAGGATATGTTTGAATAGGTTCTGTTTGGAGAAAGCAGAAAAGTCTTCAAGACACACACCTGTGAAAGTGCTTTTTGGAGGGGCTCAAGATCTCTTGATCTTATTAAGCCCCCCAAATAACCAAAGAAAACCAAAAGTGGCTCCAACATGCCATCCATTTCATCTCCTAGAGCCTATCCAAAGGAAACAGCAGAACTAATGTCTAATGTTGCTGAAGCAGAGCAAACTTACCCACAATTGAGGACATTAGCTCAAGCTTTCCCCTAATGGGCATTAATATTTGTCAAAACGAGGATCTACTCAATTCAAATTGAACACTTAGAACGGAAAAGGAAAGTCTGTAATAAATGGAATTTGGGTTCCAATGAATATGAAACGAACCAGTGCTGCACCTGCAGATGGATCCCCCAAAGCTAAATTCTGTTTTGTAAGAGCCATTACAAATCGGACTCTACAAACACTTTCTGAAAACATCTAAAGAAACATTAGAGTGTGACTCTGGGTCAGGATTGCTATTTAGGACTACTTCTTTCTTAAAATAACTTATTTTTTTTAAAAAAAAATTTACTTTTTTACTGTGAGGAAATGGAAAAAGCAGGGTAAAAAGAAATTAGAAGCACTGGTTAGCAGAAGATCAGTTGCTTTCTTTATGCTAACCCCCTCTTAACTACTTTGACCTTCAAAAGTGAATCAAATAGATCTGTTTAAGTTTCCAAGAAATGACTGATGACTAAGAAGTTCTTTACTCATTCTGGAAGCAAATTAAAATTGCCAGCTGAACTTGGTATACTTTCCACCAAGGAGTGGAGGCAAGGAACTTTGTTTTTCATCTTGCAGCAGAGGTTTGCTGTTACTTGTTTGAAATTTCAAACACAAGAATAAGAAAACAACCAGCATGCCTACAAATATCATTTCAAATTTCATTCCATTTCATAGGCAGGAAGATTCTTACAGACCCACTGTGAAAAGAAGAAAGGTTTCATAAGTTGAAAAGCAGCAGTGAGCAGACCAGGAGAGCAGATTTAAAAAAAAAAAAGAAAGAAACCCAAGTAAAGGGTAACCTTTGTTTTGGAGAGAGGGTCCCTCGCAGCCCATGTCATTTGAAACTTAAACAGAGAAGGAAATAGAGTCTTGCAGCAGAAGAGAAGAAAATTGTTTCCTTATACTTACAGTTCAAGTGACTCTGCCCTCAATCAGTCTCACTAAGGGGAGCCAGAGCAGAGCGTCTTCCCTGTCCTTGGGAGGCAGAGGTAAGGCACGTTGCAGTGAGATATTTCAAAGACCCAGGGAATCCCAGCGCTGCCTTCCCCATCTTATCCTTTTGCTTTCAGCCAAGGCAACATTGTGGGTTCCAACTCATCCCAGTGGCCACAAGTTTTGTGGTCTGGTCTCCCTGTATTTCTCCTTAGTCTTTGGAAATGGAATTGGTGTTGACACTGAGGTTAGAAGGGGATAGAAGAGATGTGGTTACACTGGGGATATTCCATGGGCAAAGTTTCATGAGAATGCAATTCAGAAAGAACCCCGGGAGACAGAATGAAACTTAGGCCTAGTAAATTAACCTGGAAAAAACTGATCCTGTCTTAGTAGGGTTTAATGCAGCTTGTTTCAGAAATTCTGGGTGGGCTAGGGAGCAGTTGGTAGAGAAGTAAAAACCTACATGGGCAGATTGCTGAGGCCTGGCCTGCCTTATTAGTAAAAATCTCTTTGGAGGCTTTCATTATTGGCCTCATAATTTTCTAATTTCAATGTAAAATCCACCCACTAAAGGAGCCGCTCTTCCGTGGACTCTGTAAACTATTAGACCACGCCTTTCTTCTTTACTTGGTTTTTCTTCGAATCATATAGAATTTATAAGGTCATCATAATTTATGAACCCCAGGGTGATGAGAAGATAGAGGCTCTGCAGAAGGATACAAGCTTATAGCAGGGCCCTGCAGAAAGCATTGTGTCTATTTTGTGTGGGTAAAGGTGAAAGGGTAGGATGGAGGTGGCACAGCCTTACATTGATTTATCCTTATTTCTAAGAAACAATACTTTAAAAAAGTGTTTTTAGTTGTAAATGGACAGAATACTTTAATTAATTTGTTATTTTTATGTGGTGCTGAGGATGGAACCCAATGTGTCAAACATGCGAGGCAAGTTCTGCTCTACCACTGAGCTACAACTCCAGTCCCCAGACCAATGCTTTTTTAGTGGTTTATAGGGACGAAGGCAACTGGAAAGAAAAGTGAATAAAAAGTCAGAGTGGGGGCTGGGGATGTGGCTCAAGCGGTAGCATGCTCGCCTAGCATGCACGTGCTGCCCGGGTTCGATCCTCAGCACCACATACAAACAAAGATGTTGCATCTGCCAAAAACTGAAAAATAAATATTGAAATTATCAAAAAAAAAAAAAAAAAAAAAAAAAGTCAGAGTGGGCTGGGGATATAGCTCAATAGTAGAGTGCTTGGAGAGGCAATGGGTTTGATCCAAAGCACTAGGGGGCAAAAGTAGTGAGACAGGAAAATTAGATTCCAATTCAGCCTTTATTACTTTCTCTGTCACATAAACTGAACCCCACTATCTCATCTACTTACCACAATGGACTGAAAAGAGGATCAAATGAGATCATGAAGATACATCAAAAACTGTGAAGCATTTCTACACACATGAATGTTTTCTATTTTTAAAATTATTTATGTAGTTTTGAGAAAAAGGGAAAAGAAGTTTTATTGCTTTGCTAGAAAAGGAGAAACACAAGGGACTCCTGTCCCACAGTCTGTGATTCTCCCCATCAGGAGGAACAGGGGACTTTTTTCTTTTCTTTCTTTTCTTCTTATTTTTCAGGGATGGGAGGTACTGAGGATTGAACCCAGGGGTGCTCTACTACTGAGCCACATCCCCAAACCTTTTTTTTTTTTTTAAATTTTGAGGCAGGGTCTCACTAAGTTGCTTAGGGTCTCAATAAGTTGCTGAGGCTGGCTTTGAACTTGCAATCCTCCTGCCCAAGCCTCCCAAATCACTGTATTACAGGCATTTGCCACTGTACTGGGCAGATGGACACAATATCTTTATTTGTTTATTTATTTTTATGTGGTGCTGAGGATTGAACCCAGGGCCTCACACCTGCAAGGCAAGTGCTCTACCACTGAGTTACAGCCTCAGCCCCAGAGTAGAGGATTTTTAAAGAAGTGTTTCAAAGGCTACATTCTAGGTGTACCTGATGAACCCAACCTAATTCTATCCTAAGATTGGGAGCCATCTCATCACAAAGTTTTAAAAAGTTCATTTCTGTTTTACTAAACAGAAATAAAAGAAAACCAAAAGTGGCTCCAACATGCCATCCATTTCATCTCCTAGAGCCTATCCAAAGGAAACAGCCTGGCAGTACTCTGAAGGCTAATCTTGTTTGGAATTCCTGCCCATGCTCTAAACTCACCCATGCCTGGCTCTCCTTGACCAGATAACAACCCTCCCTAAAACCTTAGCAGCCCCTCATAAATTCTGATGTTGGAATCTAAATTTACTCCTTACCTTGAAATGTTAAGCCACATAGATCATTAACCTGCTGTCTGCCTTTGTATTATGTTTGCCAGAATCCTGTTAGCTGTAAGTTCCCAAGACACCCCCTTTGTAACTTTTTGTGCTATAAAACCATTTTTTTCTGGAGAGCTGGGGTGCTGTTCTCTAGCCTGGCTTTGGGTGAGACAGTCGTTGGCCAGCTAGCTCACTTGTGTACGCAATATAAGCTTGCTTTAATTTGATTTAAAATTGGAGTCGGTGATCTTTTCTTTGCGTCATGGGTTCAACAGTACCCTGATGGGGGTCATAACAAATATGAGTGTTTTCTAAATTTTAATTCATCACATGAGTCAAAAAATAAGGTCATTAGATAAATAAAGCATTTGAATATGGGGTTGGGAGAAGGAGCAACATCCTAAGCCTGATGGATGTTAGGTGACTGGACACAGGGATGGAAGGAGTTCAACTAAATGGAAAAGAAGAAGAAAAAGTAGATAAAGAAAGCAGAAAAGACACCAAGTTCCTAGAGAAAGCCTTAGCTTGGGTGCTGGTTAGGGGTTATAACACTAAATATAATCCTGCTCATATATAAAATAATGGGACCTAAGTAAACAATCAACAATTATTTCCTTAAAAGTAATTAGCCAGGATCCGGGGATATAGCTCAGTTGGTAGAGTGTTTGCTTTGCATGCAGAAGGCCCTGGCTTCTAAGCACCAGCAACCCCCCCCCCCACACACACACACACTCACACACACGCAGGAAATGAAAAAAAAGTGCAGTAGTGGTAAGATCGGCGTTTAGGAATACAAAGAGAATCCTAGGTCTCAAAAGAGAAATATCCATAAACCATCGGCATGCAGAACAAACATTATGGATCTCATGTGCAACCCAGCCTGTGTCCTTGTGCCCATAACCGTGCCCATGGCTTGCTCTTTGGCTGATGAAAGAGCAACAAAAAGGTAAGATTCCCACAGGGCATCTGAGGGAAACTCTCCTTTAGGGAGCTTGTGCATTAGAGACTTGGGTGACTGAGAAATGACTCTAGCCTTATTATAAAACTAAAACTCACAGCCCTGGGTGAAGATTTAATGAGACACATGAAGAATGAAGTAGCATGACTAGAATCTTTGAGGGCAATGTTCAAGTGCAAGGAAAACTTCTATGAAATTGCTTGACTCCGCCTACACTCCACCTCTAGTTCCTCTCCCTAGCTACTATCCTTTTATAAATGTTGAAATTCCAGACCAAAACAAGGCAACTCACTCTATGGCTCTGCCCACATGCTTTCTTTGTACTTTTCTTTGAAGTGTGTACTTCTTGCTTTTCAATAAAGTGCTCCCTTCTTGCTCTACAATTGTTCTTAAATCTTTTTCTGTGATGCACTCAAGGACTTGGAAGGTTTAAGCAATGGTCTCCTCTGCTTCTGAAGAGAACTCTTTGGACCCCCATGCAGTGATATGGGGGTTCAAAGCAAATTTGAGAAGACAGAAAATTTAAAGATAGAACCATAGAAATGACCAAGTTGGAGGAACAGAAAGAAAAAAGATTGAAGGAAAGTAAACAGAGCCTAAAGGACACCATCAAGCAGAACAACATATACACTGTGAAGTCCCAAAAGGAGAAGAGGGAGAGAGAGAGAAAGGAACAGAGAACAGTTGAAGAAATAATGACTGAATCTTCCAAAATTTGATGAAAGCTATAATATAAACATCCAAGAAGCTCAGGGAATTCTAAATAAGATGGACTCAAAGAGGCTCACGCAAAGACACATAATTAAATTTTCAAAAGCCCAAAACAAAGAACCACCAAGAGACAAATGACTTATTACATATAAGGAATCCTCAAAAATGTTAGATTTCTCATCAGAAATTTAGAAGGCCAGAAGGCAGTAGGCTGATAGATTCAAAGTGATGAAAGAAAAACTGTCAACCAAGAATCTTTTATCTAGATCATCTCAAATGATACTGAAAAAGCATTTGACAAAACCCTTTTACTCTTCACGTTTTCAGTAAACTGGGAATAGAAGGAAATTACTGTAACCTAATAAAAGTCATATATGAGAATTCCACAGAAAACATCATGCTTAATTTATTTATCCATATTTTACTGTGATGGTCATATGAGTTGCACTCAGTTTGGAGTATTAAGAAAAATGTTGTCCTGAACATTCTTCTTAAAGTCTCTTGGGCACCCAAGAAGTGGTTACTGCATATACCCAGGAGCAGACTGATGGACTTTAAGATTATGTATATGTTTAACTTCCAAATTGCTTCCCAAGTTCAAGTTCATTTTTTCAGTTTAATGGTCTAGTCAGGAGAAAGAAAGAGAGAGAGAGAGAAATATATATATATGTGGAAAGAAATATATTATTATATAATATATTATATAATATATATGTGTGTATGTAGATATAGATACATATATATAAAAGTTGCACTAGCAGAATTGATAACTACATATATACATATATATCTATACATACATATATATTATATAAAGATGTTTTATATAATATATAAAGATATATATATATACTTACACACATATATAATATAATATTATATATATATATATATATATATAAACTTAAAAGCATTTGCCTGTTTGGTATAAAACAGTATCTCATCATAGTTATCATGGTTTCAACTTGTATTTTCTTAATTACTAAGGAGATTTTCTCTTTATTTTTATGGATATTTTAATTTTCTTTTTTGTGACATTCCAATTAATGTCCTATCCCAATTTTCCGAGTCTTTTTTTAAATTCACTAATAACTTGTATA